AAATATTTTTTTAAAAAAAGGTATACAAATTATTTTTTTTGTCAAATGATATGACAAGTGTGTTTTAATTTTTACTCTACATTTTTATAGCAAGTTTTTCAAGAACAATTAATGTTTACCTACAAAATATACTGATAATTATGTTTGTATATTTATTAAATTAATTTAACTTCGAATTTAAATGAATGATTGTATCATACTATTTAAATCTAATCATCAAAATGGTGGCCAATGTTTATTTTTTATGCAAAAAAAAAAAATGAAAACTAATGAAAAGTGATAATAAATATGTGAAATGAATTATAATTTAATGTATCTTTAGTTGATATTGTTACTATTGCTGTATATATTAACTTTAATTGTAAATACAAATAATCTTCACTGCCCTAATGGGATTTGAACAATTTTAATTCAAATCAATTTTGCCAAGGGTTTTTTTGATTTTAACAGAAACCTGTAAGCGGTTTCTTTGTATGCTCTTCTTTTTACATTCTTAACAGAAATGGACATGTTAAATACTTTCTTCCAGCTTGATTTTTCATATGACACAATTGAACTTAAAATTCATGTCTTAGTGGTGTTATTAAGTAAGGTATGTCAAATGTGATACCTGTACACTTTTTGTTTAAGTTTTAAGAATGTAATGGATCAGTAGGATTAAATGGTTTTATCATGGAATATTCGTTAAAATGAATGATCGTTGCGTCCCGGTTATACTTTCCTTCCAATATACAAAGGATAAAACCCTGCAAGAAATAAAAAGTTTGTATTTTTTTTTTTAAATTAATAAATAGTAAACTGTTTGTGATAAATAATAGTAAGAAAACCATAAGATGAATTACAGTCTGATAAAATTTTTTCTACCTGCTGTGCAGCCCAACAGTATATCTGGTGCCGTCACGTGAGCAAATTAGTTCCATTGTCTTGGCGTCTATGATAACCATGAATCCTGAAAAAATATAAGTCATCATTTTATCGATTTCGTTCATTTTATATCGTGACATTTTTCTCAATTTTCATTGAAACCTTTCGTATGCAACTTTACAAAGTCAATAAGATAAAATCCTTAAATGGGTTAGCGACCAGTGGTGTTACTTTGGGTTTTTACTTCATGCATGAATAATCATCACTTTTTCACATAACATATTTTTAAAATATTGTACCTTTTGTTCCCGCCCATACTATTCCTTGCGCTAACAATCACGCAATCGTCTTCACTAGAAGATTTGGATGAGGGACAAAATTTGGTTCCTGACAAACAGTCCCTCGGGAACGTGTAGTGGATTTCTTCACCAGTGTCTACGTACTTGCAAAGGATGTTTAATATAAATGGTCTTGTTAGGAATAGAAAGTAAATAAAATCGGATACATGGTAGGAAAACTAATTTACTTTTTCCTAGAAAATTTTAACTGTGTCTATACTTTGGTGTTATGAATGCCACAAAAAACATGGATATTTCCTATGGACTATTATGAGACAAAATTTTAATCATAATTTGTTTAAAAAATATTTTATAAACAGCCATTAAATAAAAGACTGATTGTTTCATATGTACCCTTTTTACTGCTTTTTTCTCTGTCGAAATTCATTGAGCCATATAGCATACGGTGTATTTCTTTCGCGTTGTAATGCATGATTAAATTTTGACATCTCAAAGCTGCTAGATCTTTATCTTTAGTTTCAAACTGGCGCATAGCGGTGTAAAATTGTCATATTAATAGTAATTTTGAAATGTCAGTGGTATATGGCATTAAAAACAAAAAACGATATTTATATAAATGGATGATGGTGATGTAATAAGTTTTTGGGGGCGGTGACGACACGATGATGAGAAATTGAAAATCAAATTTTAGTTATAATTATATGTATCATTATTACAATGATAGTAGAGATTGAAAGAATATTGAAAATAAATAAAATAAAAAACAATAATCATATTTTAAAGGTGGTTTTTTGGATAACCCAATATATGTACTTTACTTCATCAAGATTTTCAGATATGTATACTTTGTGTAATGTTGGCTTGTCGTAATGTTGCAGTCCCAATGTTAATAACTTCTCTCGTCTTCATAGCTCCTAACTGTATTATAGAATAAACGATTAAAAGATACTTTAAGATATGACCGCGCTCAAATCTGATATTTGAAAAATAATGATAATTGCTAGGTTTTTTTTTTTTTTTTTTTTAGTTACAATTAATTGCTATTTCTAAACTGTTAAAATAAATTTATTTTGATTACTTCTCACGATATATGTGTTAAAGGAAATAATAATACATTTTATTCATGTATTTTCTTCCATGTCATACAACATAATATATGTTCTTTTTCTTTTCATTGTTTAACGACGATGAGCTCTTGTAAGTTTTAAGTCAAATAAAATATTTGTTCTGTTCTGTTCTATCTTTTGAGGAGCATGCTACTTTTTTTAAACACTGCACGCCTATAGTATAAATATATAGTGTCAATTAAAAAACGGCAGTTTTTGTAAGAATGGAGCAAAATAACATGACCAGTTATAGAAAATACAGCTTTAAAACAAAGTTTATGCATTCTTATATTCACATGAAAAATTCAGTAAGACTTCCATGAATTTCAATCAATGTAAGCGATAAAGTATTTTACCGGAAGATGAGCATAATACATGTATATTTTTAAGCACATACAAACTGTGTTGTAAAAAAAAGTGTGACATTTCCATGTTAGTGTTTTTGTCGACTATACAATGTACTGTATTTATTTTCTGCTGAAATTTTATTTTAATCTTAATGAATTCATACCAAATTTAATTTTTGTATTTCACTCACGAAAGAAAAAACGTTACTGTAGCAAACAACGATTACTTTTCTGATTAATAGACAGAATGAGAAAAAAATTTTATTATATAGCAATCTATACAATGTATAATGGTTTTTGAAATACAAGAATATAACAGTACAAAGCTCGCAGTGTAGCACCTTTTAACTATATCAAATTAAAGAGGATGCTGGTGTAAACGAATTTTCAATACCTTAATTTTTCAAAATTGTATTAGAATGAGGCGTACCTGGTGAGTCACAAAAAAATGGAGACATTGTAATATTGGCAACAAATTCACCATCCGACTTTCTCATTACCAATAATCTAGTAAATCCGTTGGGTTCGTAATGAAAACCTTGCTTAAAGAATGGTACATACTTATCGTAGTGCCCTGAAAAATGAATTGTGAGTAAGATTATAGATTTGACGATAGCTACTAGTATTATATTCTGAACTGTTATGCGGTGATAAACTAGGTAAATGTAAAAATAAGACAATGGTAATATTAACTTTGAAGAATATTTTTATATATCTAAATTACATCACCGATTCAACATTTTTACTCACAAAAAATGCACAATTGCTCTTTCAGTTTTGATATAATCAAGTTAATTTTGTATTTGATATACTAAATTGCAAAGTGACAGAAAAAAATATTATGTGACGCAAGGATCGTGCAAATCCCAGTCTAGGTAGGATTATATAGTTTTTGTTATGCAGAATGAGTGCATGTATCCAAATTAGAACTGAAAATCCGGATAGGGTTCATTCCCCCGTTGCATTTACTAAATAGATCTTGGGGTGATGGTAAGCTCGACCGTGTCGAACTAAATCCGAACCCACTTTTATACAGCGATTCGTCTGAAATCGGAAAAAGGTGCAAGTATTTATAAACTGAAATAAAGAAGCTCACCGTTTGAATTTTTTATTGACTATGTTCCAGGTGAATTATCGTAGTCCTGAAATGGAAAAAGTCAAGAATAAAAACTGTTATGAAACTTTGCTGTGAGGATTTTAAATGTTGTATCGACACCAAACCTATATCTCTGAGTCAAATGTAGTTTTTCCGGGCTGTTTGCGACAGTGAAAAGTTTAAGCTCAATCACTTGTCAAAGTTGTGTCAGGCGAAACCTATAGTACATGTATGAGAAACATATTTATTCTTTACTGTCCACAAATGATTAAACATATTCTCACTAACAAAATAATTCTTTGCAAAAATAAAGAATGCAGACAAATTATTCAACAGAAAAAAAAATGACTACAACTATGTATATTTTCATTTGATAAAAGTTACCAACTAGCTAAATGTTGATCTTTTTGTAACAGGTTGAAGTACTAAAATGTAGGATATATGTGCTTTTTTTTCTTAGATTTGAATGTTGCATCTTCTACATAAAACAGTGAAAATTTTCACTTTAAACAAAGATTATGTGGTTTTCTATTCTTTTAAACCAAGATTATGGACGTAATGGAAATCATAAAACCATTTGACGTTGACCTGGATGACTTTGTGTCCGGAATACTTGAAATAATGTACGAAAAATCATACTTTATTTTAGGTGGGTTTGCGAAACAAAGTGAGTCACAACTAATGTATCCATAAAGTTCCGTCCTGTTCCGTCTGCTCGTGAGCCGGATTATTGGTAAACCCGTACTCCGGTGTATCCGGTATTCCAAGGTGATCATCATTGTACTTGATCCAGCCTTTTTGAGAAACATCCCCATTGTCGATAATAACACCTACAATACACGAAATTCCCAAAATGTAACTAAATATACAGGTAAAAAAACGAGACAAAATCATATTGAATTGAAAAGCATGCTTTAGTATATTAAATGATTTTTTAGTATTGTATGCTTTGCATCAAGAATACATGTTTGTTTCTTTTACATTTATTTAATTTTCATAGTTAATTAAAATACGAGTTCAGATCCACATGATAAGAGAACGAGGAATGAATGAGAAAAAACACGTATCATGTTAATTAATAGCACTTTCATGCATGGATTGTCAATCTGTATACTATTTTGCTTAAAAAAACGGTTTTATCAACTAATTAAAACGATGTAATCTATATGGATTTAACCCAATACAGTATCGGAGCAGTACCTCTAGACGCTTGCAGAAATCATGATCACAAAAAGACAAATTATCGTTGGCCGATTATTACATTTTGATTCATTATCGTATATAAAACGGGGTGAAGAGATGAATTAAGCGTTTTAAGTTCATTCCGTAAGGTGAATAGGCGAGATTTTAGAATTTAATCATTCAAGCGCCTTGTCCTGTATATACCGGAATACGGTATTTAGTGTGGTGCCCCAATCCGTTTTTAGTCTCACACATTTATTTTCACTGAGAGAAAGACTAAACAGTGATAAAAACGTTAACTAACCGATAGGTACTTCTGTCATAGCAACAGCCTGGTTACCAATCTGCCACCAGCTAACATCAGGAACGCTTGACACTCTCGATTTATCAGACAGTTCAGTTCCCCATTTGTCTACCATTTTTTTGTTCTGTGGATTAAATATTTCTGTATGTATATGTTTTTACAGAATGTTTCAAAACCTATAATGACTTTAGATATCATTTTAAAATTAAAAAGATTTATTGTGTTTATACTGAATTTATACTATGTCTCACGAAAATGCTCAATGAAACCGACTTTTTCATTTTCAAATATTTTTTCCTTTTTTCTCTTCAAGCACCACCCTTAGCAGAGTGTTTCTTTTTCGGGGGTTGGGACTGCTCTCCTACACATCAGGCAAGTGTTGACAAAAATCAACAGTCGGATAAGGCTGTCCGGTGTTAGCAATGAGTCAGCTAACATTATTGAATTTTTTCAGTAAAGGAACTTCTAAGACTAATTCTAAAACAGGTGAAGCTGTTAACAGTTTTTTCATTTATTCAGTTTTTTGAAATTTGGAAGCTAGTCAACCAGATCAATGAAGAGCAGGCACAAGTTGCAAACAATTACGTCACGGGGCTATTTAAAACTATACAAACTATACAAAAGCATTTTCTAATTTCTGTGTATTTTAGAGCCAAACTATTCCTGGTATTACAGAGAAGTTATTCTTAAAGCAACATAGATGACTAGAACTGTATGGCTTTTGAAAAGAAATCGGAACACATCGACTTGATTCGTTATAATCTCGGGTTGAAAGTAGTTCTACCATGTAGTTTAAGATGTTTTGTCTGGTTTAGATATATATTTATCTAAACTTGATTGTGAAACAAGTTCTTTCAACTTATATAAATCACTTTCGAGTCCGCTTCAAATAAAGTATTACTTTGGTAAAATTATGATTGAAAATTATTTATCATTATTTATCAAAACGACCACTTATTTTCAATAGCAAGCACCTACGAATTACACATGTTATGTCAACATGTATACATTTTTCGTACTTCCGATTTCAAACAACCATAATTATAAGTTTATGGATAAGGTACTGTTAACTTGTATATCTATAAGTTTTATTTAATAAAGTTTAAAAAATAAAATTACTATTTTCATATTTAGTTTCTTAGCGTTGGTTAGACCGAAATACTGTATCAGTATTCGAGTTTTTTATCCGAAGCTTGACGGAACGGGCCGAGTAGATACGAATATTACAAAACATCAGGCGAAGTGAAATGTTTTAATTCAGGTAAATTATAGTCGGTCACGAAAGTCTTATAATATTTCAACATATAAGCGAAACATTTCCATATATGAACACACATGTCCACATATCAGCAAAACATGCCCATGTATCACCAAAACATGTCCACATATCAGCAAAACATGTCAGCATATCACAAAAACATCTCAAAACTTCAGCAAAAGATGTCCACATATCAACAAAAGATGTCCACATATCAACAAAACATGTCCACATATCCAACAAATCAATTCCACATATCAACAAAAGATGTCCACATATCAACAAAAGATGTCCACATATCCAACAAAAGATGTCCACATATCCAACAAATCATTTCCACATATCAACAAAAGATGTCAACATATCCAACAAATCATTTCCACATATCAACAAAAGATGTCCACATATCCAACAAATCATTTCCACATATCAACAAAAAGATGTCCACATATCAGCAAAAGATGTCCACATATCCAACAAAAGATGTCCACATATCCAACAAATCATTTCCACATATCAACAAAAGATGTCCACATATCCAACAAATCATTTCCACATATCAACAAAAGATGTCCACATATCAACAAAAGATGTCCACATATCCAACAAAAGTTGTCCGCATATCCAACAAATCATTTCCACATATCAACAAAAGATGTCTACATATCAACAAAAAGTATTTCCACATATCAACAAAAGATGTCCACATATCCAACAAATCATTTCCACATATCAACAAAAGATGTCCACATATCAACAAAACATGTCCACATATCCAACAAAGATGTCCACATATCCAACAAATCATTTCAACATATCAACAAAAGATGTCCACATATCAACAAAAGATGTCCACATATCCAACAAATCATTTTCAAATATCCAACAAATCATTTCCAAATATCAACAAATAATTTCCACATATCAACAAAAGATGTCCACATAATTATCCAACAAATCATTTCCACATATCAACAAAAGATGTCCACATATCAACAAATCATTTCCACATATCAACAAAACATGTCCACATATCAACAAATCATTTCCACATATCAACAAAACATGTCCACATATCAACAAAAGATGTCCACATATCAGCTAAATATGTCCACATATCAACAAAACATGTCCACATATCAACAAATCATTTCCACATATCCAACAAAATATGTCCACATATCAACAAAAGATGTCCACATATCAACAAAACATGTCCACATATCAACAAAAGATGTCCACATATCAACAAAAGATGTCCATATATCAACAAAACATGTCCACATATCCAACAAATCATTTCCACATATCAACAAAAGATGTCCACATAATTATCCAACAAATCATTTCCACATATCAACAAAAGATGTCCACATATCATCTAAATATGTCCACATATCAACAAAACATGTCCACATATCAACAAAAGATGTCCACATATCAGCAAAATATGTCCAAATATCAACAAAACATGTCAACATATCCAACAAATCATTTCCACATATCAGCAAAAGATGTCCACATATCAGCAAAATATGTCCACATATCAACAAAACATGTCCACATATCCAACAAATCATTTCCACATATCAGCAAAAGATGTCCACATATCAACAAAACATGTCCACATATCAACAAAACATGTCCACATATCAACAAAACATGTCCACATATCAACAAAACATGTCCACATATCAACAAAACATATCCACATATCAACAAAACTTGTCCACGTATCCAACAAATCATTTCCACATATCAGCAAAAAGATGTCCACATATCAACAAAACATGTCCACATATCAACAAAACATATCCACATATCAACAAAACATATCCACATATCAACAAAACATGTCCACATATCCAACAAATCATTTCCACATATCAGCAAAACATATCCACATATCCAACAAATCATTTCCACATATCAACAAAAGATGTCCACATATCAACAAAACATATCCACATATCAACAAAACATGTCCACATATCAACAAAAGATGTCCACATATCAGCAAAATATGTCCAAATATCAACAAAACATGTCCACATATCCAACAAATCATTTCCACATATCAGCAAAAGATGTCCACACATCAGCAAAATATGTCCACATATCAAAAAAACATGTCCACATATCCAACAAATCATTTCCACATATCAACAAAACATGTCCACATATCCAACAAATCATTTCCACATATCAGCAAAAGATGTCCACACATCAGCAAAATATGTCCACATATCAACAAAACATGTCCACATATCGACAAAACATGTCCACATATCCAACAAATCATTTCCACATATCAGCAAAAGATGTCCACATATCAACAAAAGATGTCCACATATCAACAAAACATGTCCACATATCGACAAAACATGTCCACATATCAACAAAACATGTCCACATATCCAACAAATCATTTCCACATATCAGCAAAAGATGTCCACATATCAACAAAACATGTCCACATATCAACAAAACATGTCGACATATCGACAAAACATGTCCACATATCAACAAAACATGTCCACATATCAACAAAACATATCCACATATCAACAAAACATGTCGACATATCCAACAAATCATTTCCACATATCAGCAAAACATGTCCACATATCAAAAAAACATGTCCACATATCAACAAAAGATGTCCACATATCCAACAAATCATTTCCACATATCAGCAAAACATGTCCACATATCCAACAAATCATTTCCACATATCAACAAAACATGTCCACATATCAACAAAAGATGTCCACATATTCACAAAAGATGTCCACATATCAACAAAAGATGTCCACATATCCAACAAATCATTTCCACATATCCAACAAAACATGTCCACATATCAACAAAAGATGTCCACATATCAACAAAACATGTCCACATATCCAACAAATCATTTCCACATATCCAACAAAATATGTTCACATATCAACAAAAGATGTCCACATATCCAACAAATCATTTCCACATATCAACAAAAGATGTCCACATATCAACAAAAGATGTCCACATATCCAACAAAACATGCCCACATATCAACAAAACATGTCCACATATCGACAACACATTTCAGTGTATTAACAACACATGTCTGGTAGGCGGCTACAGAACTCATGGCTTTAGGAACTTTCCAAGGAATAACTTAAAGTTAAATTTTACATAGCTCTATATAATAGTTATTCATGTGTAAGATTATACAACATATGGGCGATACATATAAATGTATATACATGTATTATCACTTCGGTTTAAGCGTAAAAAATCGTAATATGAATTCCATCTATATCATAAAACAAAATAACGCAATTTCTAGTTCATACCACTTTTGAAAATGCAGTTTCCATAAAGACACTTGATTGATTCATTTGTCTGCCGTATGTATTGTATATTTCATTAACGGTAGTTTCATACCATCTGAAATAGTGTGAAAACAAGTTGTACCAGTCTGTAAGTAATTGAGTAACCTAATAATGGTACCAAACATCATATAGTTTAAAAATCGAAATTTAAAAAAAAATCCTTAATCCCAATGCACAGTTTTTTTTGCGTTTGATATACAATAAAATCTAAATTTTCAATTTCATTTACAGGTTTACATATATATATTTCACGAGTTAAACCAGAAATAAATAGTTTACATTCTTCTAGCATTAGTCTGCTGCAGCTTTCTCTGTGCTATTCTAAATTTTGAAAGCAAACAGAAAAAATACAGGTATTTAAAGATAGGACAAAAAGAAGTTGAGTTTTCATCATAAGGCTTCCTAAAAGTCAAGAAATTTCACGTGACCACAAATGCGAACGAACACAGTAACATTCACTTTTTGGAGCCGGTAAATGTTCTCTTTTCTTTGACAATTCTTCACGAATATCCAGATATTCCGTACATATTATTAAAAAATGTTTTTCATCTTCAACTGTACGTCCATTTATGTAGAAAAAAAGAAGAAATACATTATCTACCAACATTTACCAATCAAATCTTCATGCTTTCAGACAAATTGTTACAACAACGCATCTGATATTAGCAGTTAAAGATAAAAACTTTCCATTAAAGTAAAGTTCATGTAGTTTTAAAGTTTTTTCTTGTTTATTAGTCCTAATCTGTCTGTTACTACCCGGTACCGCATTTACATTTCTGTTCAAAGGCACATAATGCCTCAGAAACAAATTGGCAAAAAATAGTTTTATAATATTTATAAAACTGTTAAAGACCATGTTAAATGCTTATTATTTTAGAAATTAGCACTGGATATGATTTTTTTTGTCGTAATAGAATAAGTTGTAGTATTTTTACTTCCATACACATAACTAAATCACCATAACTGCACTAATTTCCAAAACAATAGAAGAAATAGATAGTGTAGGTAAATGGCAAGTGAAAAACTTTTTAGAAATTATAATAAAACGCAAAAAATGCTGAGTTTTTGAGAAATTATTAATGAATGCAATTCTGGGACATATTGTGCCTTTAACACTGCTCAGCTTAAATAGCAATATTTAGTAACACATTTTATATAACTACTTTTTGATAAAAGAGTTCTGCAAATTACATCTTTACAAATGTATAATATGGTATAACATTCAGGAGGAATGGTAGTAAAATATAATGTTAAAGGGAGACACAGGCAAAATTTTTATTTTGATTTGAATTTTTCTAATTCTATAAATGTCTTCGAAATGAATACACTAAGCAGTCACAGGAACAAACATTTCTCCTTATAAAGAAAAAATATTGGTTTCCCAACTTGACCCACGTAAGTCAGGTAAGAGCATAGTTTCTTTTACAGAGAACAATGAAAACGTTAAAGTACCTATCAATTGAATGATTAAGACTTATTTAAATCTAACAATATCCGCAATATCTGTTTTTTTTTTGTAATTTCTTTTTTCTAGTTACTAGTACACGACTTGTTTTAAATCTACTCGGTGACTCTGTCGACGTCTTAATTTCGTTCAACATATAAAGAAATATCTACGCTTCAAGCCGAAAATATAAAGTTTTATACAGAAAATTCATGCTAGAACTTTTGAAAATGCCATTTTAGCATGATTTGAGTAAATAAGATAAATTTATAAACATATGTATATTTGTCATTCATTTGCCTAGATAGCCCTAAATATCACTTACAGTTTGCAAAGTAAATTTACCTCTGAGTAAAGGATATGTCTCCATTTTCGACGTGATATTTGCTGCCTATTTGTAAACAATCAAACAGGTGTTCAATGTAGTTTGGTAATGAATCATTCATGTTGTTGGTTTCTCCAAATGCTCCACATGCATGTCGCATAAAATTACCTGCATGCATTTATAAACAGCATTTACTTCAAAGATTAAAACGGTACAAATATCATATCTATGAAAACAACAACAACAACAATACCAATGTATTCTATACATTTCGTCAAAACATCTCTTCACAAGAAACAATAAGCGAGATGTTAAACTTTTATATTTATCAATAAATTATTTCAGTTATTAAACAACCAATAAAATTTGACATTAAATAGAGTATTGATATTATTCTTCACACGTGTCTATTAAAACTTATTTCAATTATATTATTTATTATCTTAAAAAGTAAATATGCTAATCCAGAATGAAGATATTGAAAAAAAAACAAGTAAATTGTCTATTCGTTAGAAGAGTAGGTGGTTCAGTGGCCGAGTTGTTGAGGTCGTTGACTTCAACCCACTTGCCCCTCACCGCTGTAGGTTCGAATCCCGACTGGGACTTTAGATTCTGTCATGTGAGATAGCTATCCAGTTAGCTTACGGAACGTCGGTGGTTCTACTCAGGTGCCCGTTCTTGCCTGAAATAATGCACGGAATGGCACCTGAGGTCTACCTCCACCAGTAAAGCTGGAACGTCGCCATATGACCTATAATGTGTCGGTGTGGCGTAAACCCCAATCAAACATCAAACATGTGGTTTAGTTTGTTTTTACCTGCCAGCCATGTTGGTACACGTCCGTAGTCTACAGTCACCTGTCCATTTATTGTCTCCTTTTCTATATTACCAAAAGTTTCTTTAAACATATCTTTTAGTTCCTTGTCGGTGTATGCCAGTACAGCCTGCACAAGAGCGAGACAACATCCTAGTTGTAAAACGTTCAGTTGCATTGTACTTCCCTGAAAATAATCAAGATTTTACAAATAGTATACCAGATATAAATCGGTATACCGGAAATTAAACTAAATTACAGAAATTAAACGATATACCAGAAATGAAACTGTATAACAGAAATACATATGTATAACACAAATGAAACGGTGTACCAGAAATTAAACTAAATTACATAAATTAAACGATATACCTGAAATGAAACTGTATAACAGAAATACATATGTATAACACAAATGAAACGGTGTACCGGAAATTAAACTAAATTACATAAATTAAACGATATACCTGAAATGAAACTGTATAACAGAAATACATATGTATAACACAAATGAAACGGTGTACCAGAAATTAAACTAAATTACATAAATTAAACGATATACCTGAAATGAAACTGTATAACAGAAATACATATGTATAACACAAATGAAACGGTGTACCAGAAATTAAACTAAATTACAGAAATTAAACGATATACCAGAAATGAAACTGTATAACAGAAATACATATGTATAACACAAATGAAACGGTGTACCAGAAATTAACAGTTTACCAGAAGTTAAACAGTATATCAGAAATGGAAACTGTACACCAATAATTAAACGGTAAATCAAAAATGAAACGGTATATCACAAATGAATCTGTATATCAGAAACCAAATGCTGGCAATAATCAAAATAAATAATTTAGAAATATCAAAATATCATTGTTATCTATAACAATAAATAAATGAACTTGTATATACCAAAAGCACGTGCAATTTCAAATGAAAGTTTAATATACTCTCATCTATTATTTATTACTAAAATATTAAATTCATATATTATAATTGATGAGTCGTTAAAAAGGTGTATAATGATTTGAGTGAGCGATTTTGTTTATTAAAAAGACGGCGTGTAACAAGGACCACTGATTAATTATCAATTAAAATTCACTTTTTAATAAAACTTAACCGACAAAAATTGAAATTATAAATAATCATGTTCTGATTCTGTTCTTTACCAATTATCATTTACAATCATTATATTGGTGTATTCATAGTATATATGTAAATTAAAATATATGTGAAATTAGAGCGTATATCAGGTGATGGGAATATAATAAATATTCATATGAGTTAGAAGGTAAGTATCATTTACAGAGAAAACCCTTATAATAATGTAAAGAGTTCCACTTGTGATCAAATATGAAAACTGAATATTAGATAATTAATGGACGAAACAGATGCGGTGCTTTATACTGTGTAAAAATTATTAGTTATTTCCAGATGTGCTTTAAAATATGTAAAATATACAACATTCTTTAAAGCAAGAAAGATCATATTTATGTTATTCAATGAAGGATTTTTTTCTAAACGTCAAATTTTAATAAAAAAATGAAAAACGTATTTCTTTGCAAGCATATAAAACCAGATTCCCTCCTGTAAAAAAGACAGAGGTAAGGAGATAAAATAGTCATAAATTCATCACTTGTATAATTAAACCATCTATACAGAAATGTCAGCCAGCACATAAAGAAGGTAAAAAAAGTCGAATCTGATAAAAATTGGTATTTTAGCACAAACAAAGTAAAGGAACTATTTCTGAAAGTTCTTTGACAAAACAAACATTGGTTGTTCTAATTTATTACAACACAAAAAGCTGTTTGTTTATACATTGGATAAAACTGAAAACGTAGATAAAGGCATCACGTGATTTTGTTCATACTGTTTCTCTAAAATCTGTTTACTATTCCTATTCTAAACAATTCAAGTAACTGCTAAATTTATATTGATTAAACAGGCAATAATTTCTCCTGTAGTCACAAGAACTGAGACAGAGGAATGCAAAAACAAACTAACTACTTACGTGTTTATTGCGTCTGGTATAAGCCCTGTATCGTTCTATCTTAATCAGTGACCAGCGGGGGATCTTAATCAGTGACCAGCGGGGAGGGGGGTGGGGGTAAAGAAAGGAGAATATACGTAGTGTTTATTATTAAATATTTTCTTAAACAGGAATTAACATATGTACGAACTTGCTGGATGAACACAGTTTGAAATAACTTAAACTTTTGTTCTGCGCATATAAAATTGAAAGTAAATTGGGTTTTACAGTTGCGAATTGTATATAAGGCAAATACATTTCTGTTCAACATATATTTAACAAATATCAATTATATCGCGTACCTAAGGAATATTTTAATAATATTCCAATGGTTAAATGATATAAGTGCCAGTTTAAAGTCTATACACTTTTGAAAGTACTTTTATTTGACAAGTATGCCATATTGTTATATAAATATGGAATAACCTTCTTAGAATAACAATTATCTCTACTTTAAAACGTTTACAATAAAATGTTTACCGTTTTAGCTTCTTTTATTCTCCGGTGAATATTGTAATGTCAAACATTTTATCCGCTTTAACTTTTTCTAATGTTTCGACTTTTAACCGAAACTTTTTCAACAATAATAATTCGAAAATATGACCAAAAAATTTTTAAAAATACAGATAAAGCATTGCAGCTTACCTTAGAAAATCCAGCTTTACAACATAATCAGCATTGTAGAAATAAATACCCAGCATGTGGTCGCTCCGGAAATATTTGGAACATTACTATGAGTGTTGCTAAAAATAGATTTCAGATTCTTCACCTGTAAACGATCATTCACGTAGTAACTAATCTAGCAGAAAAGATTATTGTTTTAATGTTTTATTATATAACAAGGAAGAATGAATGGGTAAATTACTGTACAGTCTTTATAATTTAATATTTCTGTTTTGTTTCAGTTTTTTAATTAATACCTTATCGTAACATATAACTACACATCGCGTTCAAACATCTACAATTATCATTGGAATAACTAATTTTATTTTCAATGTTTTTATTTATTTTATCCATTTATCCATCTAACAATTTTGCATGACTAGAGTTGCATCAAAAATCATTTATAGTCATTTTTTATGACATCCACACTCTATCCTTGCAAATCGTGGCTACTTCCTTAAAAAGACACTTAAAAAAAATATAAAAAAAATAGTTGCCTCGACTTAGATTTGAACCCCAAACCTCTCACACCCTAAACGAGCGCGTGACCCCTGCACAACGGGGAAGTTATACGAAGAAACCCTGAATAAAATCAAATAATTCTAAATTTGGAATTTCCATTTCGGGTTTGTAATCCTTATTAATTTCGAGTTTAACACTGATGTAAATAATTTAGCGAGATGAGTTAGCGCATACTGTCGCTGAGACACTATACTTTCAACCTCATCCATGATAACGTTTAATTTTCAAGATCATTCGTGAAAATGAAGACCTGACTAGCGTATTGATGGCGATTTTTAGTTTCGTTGATATCCTTAAATACAATAACGGACATATAACTTTATGAATTTTTATAATCGGTGTACCTGAGACATTTTCCAATCTACGCGTGTCAAATTACATTAAAGTTAGCAGATAAAACGTAATTGAGAGCACTTTTTCGAGGTAACGCCGAATTCGTGAATAAAGCACTGAAACAACGGCGGTTATCTCTCATTAAAAGTAGCTAAATCCTATTTTACCAGCTTCCTTCTATTGTTATACGACAATAGTAGTTTGACAAATGTATTGCGTAAACAGAATATGAAAAAAAAATAAAGTGTTAAATGTGCTAAATGTACATATTTAATTGACGAAACACAAAAGCCACCTTCAAAACGGTAATTAGATTGTCTTTCTCACGAATGTTCTAAGAAAGTAAACAAATTCCCGAATGCTGGTTTAAGTATAATGTAGTAGCAGCCGTATGCGCTAATTCATTTCTTTAAAGTTGTTTAGAGTAAAATATTTTAATTCGTTTACTTACTGTATTATGCGTTTTGGCAAAAGCGTTGCACAGATTCGGCGTTACTTTTACGATAATTGTACATTCCTGCATTTCTGGATATGCACGGTGGAATAAGTGGGTGATAATTGACATCAAATATAAGCGGTAGAAGAAATTTCTATGTCTACACCATTTCGCTGATAGCTTACATGTATGTGAGTAGACATATTGTCCAATAAAACATACGTAAAATCACATTAGTTTATATTTTGCGGAATTGCATACATTAGAATTCTGCCACAGATATGGTATATATACTACTGCATTTGAAATTCGGAATAGATTGAAATTATAACCAGTGTGATCGAGATAAAGATAAAAAGATCAAATTGTTTCAAGATTGAAACAGGATAATAATTCTTAATCTGCTATGAATCATATTAGGATGACAAAATGGCAAACTGTCGTTAATGGAGATACAAATCAAATGATATCATATATAAATTGACAATGTTGAATCACTTTCGTGCTAATGTGTCGAGATAACTAGCTATATAGAAAAGTGTGTTTTAAAGAAGAAAAAGAATATTCAAATTTATTAAACAGTCGAAAACTTAATAAAACATATACTTTTGTATTGCATAATATTAAAGCAAATTGACTTATATAAATAAGACAAAGCAGGGAATAAATGAAGCGCCCTCACTTACCATGGAATACAATTTATATAAGAGGTAAAACTAAAAACCATAGAAAATCATCTCTAATAATACTACGCACAGAATTCACATGACAGGAATAACAGTGTAAACTTATACAAACTCACACGAATATTGAGACCGTCATGCATTGGTAACCCACAAAATTAAAACGATTTATTTATTAAAGAAAATAAATCAACTAAAGTCAAAAACATTATATTATACATGTATGGTCAATACTGAATAAACATTAAATCATGTTAAAAATGTTACGCTATTGAATAATTTTTTTTACCTGTGACTTCATGCAGAAGAGAAGATCGAGATTAGTTTTTTTTATATATATTACTCTTTTCACATCGTCGCATTGGAGATTTTACTACGTGATCATTATACCCTGTATTGGTACATAGTGTATCAAATGTTATACTAACATCACGAAAATGAATCGCTTAGTGGATGTATCGATACGAGTATTTGTGATTATTATAAACATTCTAAACAATGGTATGTTCAAATAGATTTTACTTTAGAATTTAGAGTGCTTTTTTTTAATTTTGATTATTTTGATTTACTGCTTATGAATGAGTTAAAATATATAGAATTTTGAAATTAATTTCATGTGATATACAGATATAAAAAACAATACCACAACATATCAAAACATGTTTTGTTATAATAACCTTCATCAGTTGATTAACTTTCAGAATATATGTATCTCAAATGAATATCCGTTGTTTAACTTGTTTGACTTGTTGTTGTTGTTGTTTTTATGTTTATTTCCTTTTTCACAGAATCCCTAAAGAACGCCCGAGCTCGGTTTCATTAATCTTGTACATGGTAATTGTAAGCTACCGTACACCCCCGCTAAGAATCGGCTTATGTTTTGGTCCAAAATTGACTTTAACAATGCATATCATAGATTATTATGAATAGTATACGTTAGCCACACTGAAAATATCATATTTGAAATTATTGGCATAATTCCTATAGTGCGTGCTCTATTGTCAATAAAAAATCAGAATGTGAATTTGCATAAAAAACTAGTAGTGTAATATAAATATTTAAATATATTGTTGAGCAGCATTTATCTTTTTTTTTAAAATTCAACAAAATAACATCTGTCGATAAGTTGAATTTTCTCATGCTAAGAAGTGAAGCGAGCGGTGCAATGGATGAAGATTTACCTGAGCTATTTACATCAGTATATGATGTTTTTAAGATAAACACATGTGAATATATTAATTGCTTCTTTTAAGAATTTGATAATTTGATTGATTTCTTAATTTGGCTGTAAAGCAGTCGAATCTTATATGACTTTAAATAAGACGCATGATTTACGATTTATTTTTGCGAGTCGTCAATAAAAATGCAAAAACATAAAAACATTCACATACATCAGATTTACACTTCATGGCCAATTTTTAATTTTTGGCTTTGTTGCTGAACATTTTTTTTTTTACATTTTCTTCAGATGGAAAGACGATGAATTCTTATCCCCGTGTACAAATAATGTACTGTGCAACTGTTAACACGTTGTCGCATTGAACTGTCATAAAACATCTGCATTTTTCAATCTATCCCTTTGTTGACTTCTAGAAATTAGAAAACAATTTCGTTTTGAAAAAGTCTATCTTTTTGAGTTTTTGTATTTTTCTTTTGAGATGATTTATACAGTGATGTGCGAACATAGTTCGATTTCAAAACAGCCGTCTTTTAAATAGCAAAGCGAGGTCATATGTGTGCTGTTTTATTTTGGTTAGATTTGATGCCATACATGTCTTATATACTACATTTATGCTTTAATTTGATGATGTTTTATCGTTGGTCATTTGCTCATTAAAGGTTTATTTATCGGTTAATCGGGATATATTAATGTTCAACACATTATGTTAAACCAATATGAGCAATGCTGTATATAATTAAAAGACACATGTTGCCGGATTCCTGGCACATAGAGACATTTACTTAAGCATACACGTCCTGTCACAGTAAAAAAACGAGTACTACTAGTACGGAGGTAATGGAATTTTCGTGCCTTAAATTTCAACAACTGCGCAGATCTAAACAGACATTCGTCTGGGTAGCATTTTATTCGGCAGTACCAAAGGTATGTAGTGGTCATTCCTTTGCGTTGCGTAAAACCTCGCTTACTATTGCTGTAATAAAATCATGGTATGTTGTCGTTGATCGTTTGTTCAGATTTTTGCATTTTTCTTTTACATGCATGATTTATTTCTTTTTTAGTTTGTACTTTTTTATTAACTGAATTAGATGATTAAAGGCAACACCTATTGATTTTTGTACATTGAATATTTTGATCAATGATATAGAGACCCCCTTTGAAACACACATATATAAAACACATAGGCTTTGCGTAAGAAGTATCTTCATACATTTATCAAAAAGTATTGTTAATGATTTACTTGTTACACTTGATCAATTCTATTTTTCTGTGTGAGTAACACGGTTTTAGTTGAACTTGCAAAATGACTGCAGTATGTACTGTTATATTATTAGAAATGCTTAAAGGCATGTAACACGCATATGTTATCAAATGATCTTTAATGATTGACTACTAGATTTTTTAATTGAAATTGAAGGATAGAATTAATGTTAGTGAACTTTAGATTTACCGATAATTTCTTATTTTTTATATAATGATAATGAATAAAATTCAAATAAATAAACAAATTAATATATAAATCCGCACATCCGCAGATGTTAAAAAATCTAAAGTTTACCAGTTCATGTTTAATGTAAATTCTGCTGAAGCCGGTGCTAGGAGGCGTGGCCGGTAGCTTGCAGTTACCACTACCGTCCACCAACAGGCTCAATCAAATTGAGCCTGCAACATTTTCATGTTTTCCGTGTCGGAATTCTGTTAAGGATTTTGTTTTTCTGTATTTTATTACTAATAGGCATAATTATAATGTGTAATGGAATCAAGCAATAATCTTTCTTCTCTCCATACAATTTGATAAAAGTTACGTTTGTTGTCGTGAAAAGGTCATTACTTATTCTGCAAAAAGTCTCAATCTGAAACTTAAAGTAAGGAAAACAGCAAACCATTTTCTGCTGAAGAAAAAAAGTAATACAACCTTTCAAGAATGTATTAAATAGAAAGGTATGAGTTATTTCATAATAGTAATGGAT